AAATTTCAGACCCATTATCGCTTCCTTGAAATAGATTGTTACTCTGCAACACTCCTCCCAGCATTTACCACATTGTAGTGATGTTTAGGTTGCACCTTAGTTGTTTGGCTCATGGTCTGGTTTGCAAGATGAGAGAATAAATTGTCCTTTTTTGCTCCTATACACTTTCTCTTGAGGTCTCCCTTAGTGGTTAATGTATTTCTTTCAGCTGAAAATATAAACATAAAAATAAATGATCCTATTAGCTTGTAATTTTCATCTCCTAGGGTTGCTTTTAGTGCCTAATGGGGAATATTTTCCTCTAAGAGAGGTCTAAATTGGTTCTGTTGCCCAATATGAGGCACATCCTCCAGCATATATCTCTACCAGTGATTAATAAGACAGCCCATCAGTAACTGTAAGGTGAGTGCAACATTCATTCATACACAGGTACCTTGCCTGTTTTGCCTGCAGTAAATTCCTCTTTTAGAGAATTTTTCAAATTAAGGCTTTAAAGGAAAATAAGATCTAAAGATAGCCAAGCATCAAGAAATATTGCAAAAGAAAATTGTATTCTGTTAGATATACAATATTTTTACAATGGTTACATTTTATTTATTCTTCTAATATTTTTATTACCTATTCTGTCTGACAGGCATGAATTCAAAGATGTCCTTGTCTCTTATCATTTGTTGAATGTGACATTTACTTGTTTTCTGGCAAACAGATACAAATAAATCTAAGTCAAATTTAATAGCATTTGCAAAGTGCCAAGTCCTGTGTTTATATATAAAATAAGGGAAAATGTGCTAAGTACTTTAAGGCAGGTTGACAGAATTTTATAAGAGTTTGGAGGAAATGCTGCCTTGAGTTGTAGAATAAATATGAGTTTTAAGTCAATGAGACATAGATTTCAAGCCAGGATATGTATTTACTAGTTGATAACTTTGAGCAGTATGATTGCCTTTGCCTGTTTCCTGAACTAAATAATTGGAGGCAATGTTTGGTATAAAGAATTGTTCTGACACTTACACATTGTTGGTGGGAGCAGAAATCAGCTCAGCCACTGTGGAAAGCAGTTTGGAGATTTCTCAAAGGACTAAAAAGAGAACTACCATTTGACTCAGCAATCCTGAGTACATATCCAAAAGAAAACATTAGTAAATTTTTCTACCAATAAGACACATGTACTTATGTGTAAATTACAGTACTATTCATAATAGCAAAGGCTTGGAAGTAACCTAGGTGCCTATCAACAGTGGATTCAATGAAGAAAATGTGATATGTTTACATCAAGGAATACTTATACAATTATAAAAACGAAGGAAATCACACCTTTGCAGTGACGTGGATAGAGTTGGAGACCATTATCCTAAGTGAATTAACATAGGAACAAGAAAGCATATACTGCATGTTCTCACTTACAAGTGGGAGCTAAACATTGAGTACACATGAACATAAATATGAGAACAATAGACACTGATGGCTCCTAGAGGGTTAAGGGAGGAAGAAGGGCAGATCTTGAACTACTAACTACTGGATACTATGCTCAATTAATGGGTGAGGGATTCAATTGTACCTCAAAGCTCAGCATCACACAATATATGCCATATACCAATGTAGCAAATCTGCATATGTACCCCCAAATCTAAAATAAACATTGAAACTATATTAGAAAAATGTATGTTCTGAGACTTAAAGAGATTTTATTTTTAAAGAACCTAACAGAACATTTGGCCTGTAGCAAGTGACCAGTAAATGCTAGATGGAATCTCCTTCTTTCATCCAGGGCCCTAAGAAGACATTTGAATTGCCTTTTGAAGCATGTGCCAGATTTCAAAGTATAGACCATGTTGATAGAAAAGATTGCACACTACGTTTTTTTGATACTAAGATTTTTTTATTGGTTTCCTTATTTATTAACATAATATGTTGTGACTGTAGAATACTAGATAAGACTGCAGGGATACAAGAATACTGCAGTGTAATCTCTTTCACTGGACTTTTACTTGTTCTCTCTCTCTCTCTCTCACTTTCTCCCCCACTTAACTGCCTAAAAAAAGAGGACAAAAGAAAGGAAGTGACACACATGATAAAAATAATTCTCTCTTAAAATTTGTATAAACATTATAAGTCAAATCATCACTCTAATTATCTTGGTGAGCAAGCATTATCAACCCTTCTATGTGAGAGAGCTCCATAACCATTTATATCACTTTATTAGAGACATAATAATTGTCCTCTCTTTTCTCATGCCTGTGACCCACTGCCCAGCTTGACCTCATAACTATCACATTCTAAATGTTTGCTGAATTAGTAAATTTGGGATTGGATTTAATTTTCCTTCTTTTCTTAGGTTCATTAAGTGCAAGACAGTTATACTATTGTCATGAAAAGTCTAAATGCTGTTAATTTCTGATATACATGGTAAATAGGATATTTGTATTCAGCCAGTGTTTGGTCTAATTTGCTGTCTCTTCAAATGAGGATTGTTTGGCCAAAGTTCCTTCAGAACTGAATAGTATTGATTTTTTTTTCTCTTATAAAAGCAACAACAAATATATAAACTCTCCTTCCTTGGTGAAATGTTTATATGCAAGACATACTGCCTGTGTCTGTTTCCAAACACATATTCCCAAGCCCATTAGCTGTATATCTAAATATTTTACAGATTCTATTTTTCTACTAATTGACCTTCTGACTAAAGCAATTTGTGATCAGTAAAATAGTCACCAAAATTAACGTGTCAATTTAATATGTTTAAAGAATTTAATCAAAGCAGTTCTTTTCAGTGGGAAGTTATGTGCTACATTTTAAGAAGTTAGCAAAACATTGATACTGAAAAGATAGTATAGATAAAAGATAGAAAACACACACAAAGAAACTATAGTAAAATCTCAGTTATGAATATACAAATATATTAATATGAAGAAAATTCTAGAAAATCCTTCCTTAGAATTTGTAGATACAGGTACATCTATGTGATTCCTCTCTTACTAGATGAAGTTTGCTGCCCCTCTAAAATACTTTAGTATTTTAAAATCTGTTCCTAAACATCTGTGTAGCTCTAAGTGTAATAAGAATAAAAAGGACAATGTCTATCTCAGTTGATGCAATATATTTCTCATAAAGGTTTTTTTTGTGTGTGTCTGTGTGTGTCAGATAATAAATATGTTAACTCTTAATAGTACATCACTAGTGATATTCAAATCAAGAAGAACAAAAAATAAATTTGTACCAATGCAATTTTTACACTCTTCTGTAAATTCCGAATACTGTATTTTGAAGAGGAATGAGAAAACCAAAGAGTAATTTGAAAAGACAAGTATAAGAATTTACAAAAGATTATATATTTATACATATAATTATATTTATGTGTTTATATATAATTAAGTATATATAATTTCCATGTATATGTTGACATATATACATATATATGCACTTGAAAATGAGAGAAAACTGAATATAAACCCAATAAATTCTTACCCCATAATAGAGGTGAACATCAGTACCAGGTCAATTCACCATGTATGGAAATCTGAGGGGGCTGATTGCTCACATTACTGGGTTCCAGATTCTAAATTATTGTAAAAGGAGATACTAGAGTCAGATATATATCAATATATGTTCTGGCTTATACCAAAATGCACATTTAAATTTCTCCCTGAATGAAACTTGCCTCTCCAATCGTAGTCAAAGCAGCAGGACAAATACCGGCTTTCACCCACTGCTGTGACCATCCTCACAGGCCTACGGAATAGCAGAGGAGATAACATCTATCTTTGACCTCTGTGTAGGCAGGGCCTCAGGAAGCCAAAGGGCAAAAATCACTCATGAGCTCCTACCAAAAACTTTCTCATCATCTTATCACCTGGTGGGAAGGCGAGAAAGAGATAGAGAGAAAGAGAAAGAGAGCCTAAAAGTATAGACAGCCCAAAACTTTTTTGTCTTGGGAGATTCATATGGTTTGGACATGTCCCCCCAAATCTCACCTTGAATTGTAATAATCCCCATGTGTCAAGGGTGGGACCAGGTGGATATAATTGAATCAAGGGGCAGTTTCCCTTATATTATTCTTGTGGTAATGAAAAAGTCTCACAATAGCTGGTGGTTTTATAAATGGGACTTCCCCTACACAAGTTTTCTCTTGCCTGCTGTCATGTAAGACATACCTTTGCTCTTCTTTCGTCTTCTGCCATCATTGTGAGGCCTCCACAGTTATATGGAACTGTGAGTCCATTAAACCTCTTCCCTTTATGCGTTACCCAGTTTTGGGTATGTTAATATTAGCAGCATTAGACCAGACTAATACAGAGACCTATCAGGGAAAATGGAGTCGGGGCAATAGAAGGTCGAGCCAAGCATCCCCTACTTTTCCACAGAGCTCCACTTTGTGCATAGTGAAGATGTAAGAAATGTTGACATTGTGTAAAATTCCTTCGACTGAGGAATAATCAACCATGTCCTTTTCCAAGAATGGTATCAAAATATATGGGTTCTTGAGTCCTTCAAACTCTGTGTAATTGGTTCAAATGTCCATAAATTGTTTGATATATCTCCCATTAAGAGGTGGAGCCTGTATCCTTTAACTTTATATTATTTCTGGGCTAGACCTATGACTTCCTTTTGAAGTGGAATGGCTACGTGTAGATAGAAAGAGAGAGGAAGAGAGAGACAGATAACTGGAAGCCCTGGCTGTGAGACTTATTCTACCCAAGATATCAGAAAGACAAGTGAAGAAGAAATATTGGGAATTTGAAACCCAGCAGACATGATGTGGGGAAGATTTGGAGAGAGAGCCAGAACAAGGGCTCTAAGCACATGATCCCAATGGAGCTATCTCAGGCATTTTCAGCTCCTCAAGCTATGCCAGCTGAGGCCTCTGTCATAGTGGAAAAGAGATAAGCTCTTTCTATGGCACCCAGCCTCAATTCCTAACCCATAAGATTGCAAGCATACTGAAATGAAATTTGCTTCATGTCACTAATTTTAGAGATATTTTGTCATATGGCAATAGGTGACCAGAAAAGTTGACTTTGAATTATTGCTTCTCTACTGCTATGGACTGAATTTTGTAACCCCAGAATTCTAACCCCTGATGTAACTACATTTGGACATTTAGCCTTTAGAAGGTAATTAAGGTTGAATGAGGTCATAAGGGTGGAGGCCTGATCTAATGGGATTAGTATTCTTATAGGAAGAGACGTCAGAACTCTCTCTCTCCCTTTTTCTCTCTCAATTCCTTTCTGAAGACAGGCATGGAGAAAAGATCATGTGAGAACATAGCGAGAAGGTGCCCATCTGCAGGAAGAGAGCCCTCACCAGAAACTGATTCTGCCAAACCTTGATCTGGAATTTCCAACCTCCAGAACTATGAAACATAAAATTCTATTGTTTAAGCCACCCAATCTATGCTATATTATTATGGCAGCCCCAGCAGATTAATACAACTACCTATTAATTGCAAGATCCAGGGCAGTTATTTAAACTTTCTTAATCTTTATTTTCTCATCTGAAAAATAAGGGAAAAAAGATACTAGTTCTTTCTCATGCCACTGTTGTATAGATTAAATGAAATAATTTACATGAAATCCTAAACATAATATCTGATACAGTGCATAACATAAATTTAATGTAATTATCATATTTCATTAAGCTATGCTGCTCAAAAACTGAAGAGTCATGAGAAGAAATAAAACCATAACACCAATAAAATTCATAATAAAATTTATGCTATAACCAGAAATACTCTTACTATGGAGTTTCAAGGCAATTCCACATTAAAATACTCTGAAAATTATGCTTCATGATACCATAGCAATGTTTCCTTTATATACTAACAGTTAAAGATAGCATTATATTGCAGAATGACTTTATACTTCTCTAAAAGGGATAGCATTGTTATTTCATGGGGAAACTGTGACCCTAGTTTATACTGATGGAAGGAAAAAAGGAAAGAAGGAAGGAGTAAAGAGGAAAGAAAAAGAGAAGAAGGGGAAAGAAAAGTGGGGAAGAAGGGATTCTATGAGGGAAAAGTCATATTCAATGTGAAAATTCATTTGATATGTGCATTTGGAGCTTAAAAATTAAAGACCATTTGGCTCAGTTAGGACTTTGTTCAGAAAAGGAAAGACAGGAGAGTCTTTGTGTGAAAGAATATTCATTATGGCATTACTGTATTAACAGAACATTATAAATCACTTGACATATTCAACAATAATAATTTGTTGTTAATCTCTTATGAAGAATATTATTATTTCATTAACCACTTGTGTTTATTTAGAGTGAATAAATAAAAAAATAATTTAAAAATCAGTACACTTAATAATAAACATAGGTATATGAAGTTTTTACATAGCTATGATAGGAAAGTAATTACCAAAATATTACCAGCAGTTTTCAAGTATTAGCAAAATTATTGGTAATTTGTTTTATCGTTTTCCTCTTTTATATTTCCCAAATATCTATCATAAATATGTACTTATTTTATATTATAAACACATAAAACCAAACAACTCTCTCTGCTTTCACTTAAGCAATAGCAACTTATAGAGTCATAAAATCTTTTACCATAGACATTATAAAACAAAATCCTCAGTGAAATTTTCATTATTTTTTTCCCAATAAAATTTATCTATCATCTTTAAAAACCTTTCTGACAGTTTCGTTGGAGATGTTAAGATATAAAAAGATTTAAAACAGAAAAAAAAAATAGAAAGTTTTTCTCCTTTCTGCATCAAGGTGTATCTTGGGAAAAATCTTCAGAGAATTTTAGTGGAGCTCAGATTAATCTTTGTTTTTACCTCCAGATAAATAACTACATGTTACTGTCAATCATATTAAGCTATGAGAAAAAGAAGATTCAACCGAGCATTTTCTCATATATTTTGTTATTCATTTCCAAGGTATAGCAACACTTTTAAAAAGCTGTTTATTCAATAAACTCTCATGTGGTCCATGCATTACTTGACATCAGAACTTGAAGCTATACCTGTTGCTTGAATCAGATGCCTACAATATTCTAGGGGATGGATAGACTTGACTTCATTGATCTGTTTCTATGGCCCCTCTCTGCTACAAATCCTTACTTTGAATTAACCTTTCAGCAAACACTAGCAAATATTTGTAGAGAATTTGCTTGCCTGTCCCGAATTGTGACAGTCTCTATGGGAACAAAATTTCAGGAGATATATGTTGGCTACCAGATTTTAGCAACATGATTCTGAGCTTACTTTTAAAAAATTATTTACAAATCCTTGCTAATATAAGTTCAGAGGAGACAGATAATCTTTAATAAGCATGTCTTTTTTTTTTTCTGAGTGTACAGCGTTTCTTTTCTCTGTATCTAATACACTAAAGATATTGAACTTGGTTTGTAAATGATGTCTCCTTTTTAATTAGTTATTGCTTTTGAAGGTCAAAGTGTTACCCTGTCTTTTACAGGGCTAAACTTTCTTTCTGTCACTATTTAAAGGTGCCTGATCAATTAGCCTAGCTGTCCATGCTTGTGTGAAATCACACTTATTCTTGCACAACTAGGTACTCAGTCAGGAGCATAGACAGGGTCTGATTTGGAAACTGCCTCATAAAAATCTAATCAGAGACCCTCAAGTGATTCTCACAGATGAACAGTGTTAAGACATTAATCTGCATTCATGCCCAAAATGTAGTTGAAAACTTCACTATGGTAAGTCACTTGGGGAAAAAAATGTATTTAGGCACTTGTTTCAAGTATGAAAACACTAATGCTAGCATCCCCTGATGAATAAAGACATTTTCCACAATATTAGTAGGCAATAGTAAGAGAAGAATGACCTATAGCTACTACCCTTCCTCTTTCTTCCCAAAGGGATCGAGATGTGACTTAAGGCTGTTATTGTAATTTATAGTCTTCCTGATACTCATATGCACTTCAAAGTGTCCTCCAGAGACTTTCTTTTTTAAGTATCTCTAGGACTGAGGCAGATACAGAATTTCTACAATACATTTAGGCCAGGAAATTTACTTCAAAACCATAGATTACCATTGTTTAACTCAAAGGGCTGGAAGTAAGAAAATGAGGTCCATATCCGTGCTCATGAGTTACCATGCTTTTTATTTATAGCAATGAGTCCACTTAGTCATTCTGAGCCTCAGTTTCATCATCTGCAAAATGAGGGTAACACAGCTGGTAGCAGCAGCATGTGCCTGCAGTCCCAGCTACTTGGGAGGTTGAGGTAGGAGGATTCTCTGATCCCAAGAATTCAAGTCCAGCCTGGGCAATGTGGGGAGATCCTGCTTCTATTTTTTAAAAATATTTATTTATCTCTTTTCTGTCTATCATCTATCTATCTTTCTATCTATTTTCATCATCATCATCTATCATTTATAAAAAGAAAAAAAGAAAGAAAAAAATAATGTGATGAAGATAACACCTTCAGGCACTCAAGATATTTGCAGATGTAAAATAAGATCTCAGCTCAAAGCCACACTATAAACTGGGACTCACTAATTCATTGTGAGGAGATTTAATTGGGTTAACTAATAACATATCTTTTCCCTGGTACACTGTAGTTACCAGAAGTTATATATTTTAAAAAAACGGAAGAACCTCTCAAATAGATATTAAACAAGAAAGATTTAGTTTTTAGATCTGCTTTTAATAGGGCAGAATTTAATGTTTGCAAACCAATGTGAAACTGTTTTGCTAAACTGCCTTTCCTTTTCCATCCCATGCCTGAACCATCACCTCTCACTTATGAGCCCTAATTACTGTGGGTGGAGAGTAGGCTAGTCAATGCACTCTGTCGATGCTAGGCTGCACTCTGCCATTGACTAGAATGAGATTCAATTATCAAATGAAGGTTTATTAAAGCATGGGTTTTTTTCACTAACCTCTTCTCACCACGTGGCAATTCTCCTTCTAGAGAAACACCGCCTTTGGCAGCATTAGAGACAATGTTAACTTTTTATATGCATGAGGGCTGAACACAATTTATAGCCAGTATGTGAAAAGTCTGGAAGAAAAACACTCTTTTATAAAAGGAAATGAGTTTTAAGATGAAAGAATGAGATTTCAGTGTGACAGGGGTCCAATTTCTTGCCTTGAATAAAGGAACAGAGCACCAATTCCTTCAGAGCTGCAGGTGACCCCAACTGGGATAGAGGATACAAAAGTAATTGCCCTCCCCCACCATGGAATGGACCCTTCATTTTGAAACCAGGCTGGTGTGCTGATTAGTTCTGCTAAGTGACTCTGAAGAGACCCATTTGTTTAGCACTACGTGTAATTTTAAAGGAAAGGACGTGTCAGCAGCAGGGAGGAGAGTCAAATGAGGTCACTTGTGAAATAGCAGGAGAAATCCGTGGGTGCCTCTGCCTTGTTTTATTCTACTCCATCTCCACTGACCTCTGCTCCTGAAGACTGATGCACCGGCTAAATGGAACCTTCATTTTCTCATTCCACAAATGACCAGGCCGGCTCCTCAGTGCCCTCAGAAGCAGATCTTCATTTCTCTATTGCTGGGGACACCACACTTAACCCTTCAAGTTATAAGGCAGTTTCACCTGCAGACTCTCTGTCAGTACATGCTGGTTCCCTCCATTTGTTCGAAATTCACATCTCGGATATGATTTTGTTTTGTGTGCGTGGTAGAATAAGGTGCATGCCACTCTCACAGAAATGGTAGAATATCCTAAGCTGACAATTTTGAGGTCCTCAACCTGACAAGCCAAGAAAGTAACTGAGCAGCACACTGACATTTTACAGATTACTCTCAAGCTTAAATTGGTTTTTGACCTTAAAATCAGGTCATAGCCTGTCCTGTTTTAAAGCAAGCCAACTGAATCCGATTTTAGGTAAAAACAGTAATGTAATAAATGTTGCATTCTTGACTCTGATACTAACTTTTTTTTTGTAAGAAAAGAAAAAAGAAAAATTCATTAAAAAAAAAAAAAAAAAAACTAAAAGAAACTCCAATGGTGAACCACATTGTTTTTTTCTTTGCAGTTCCAGGATATTGAAAATGTAGTAGTATCATAGTGGTGATCGCCTTAATTAGAAGTCTCTGGTGTAAGTTTTCCTCCCACCAATTTGTTAAGAGCCTGTGGCCAAAGACCTTGCCTTACTCATCTCCATTTTCCAAGGGTTCTAGCAGAGGGTTAACATGTGGCAAGCACTCCAAAGTTTAAACTGAATACATCCATATTGAACAGAATGTGAGTTTTCAGATTATAAACACACAAATTAAACAGGACGCTGAAGTTACCACTCACATATTTTTCTTTATGTGTTAAAACCTTATATTTTTCTGATCCTTTTCCCCCCATTATTTAGTGCTTCTAATTATCAGCTTGTGAAGCACCTCTTTGTGGAGGTTTTGATGGGTCTCACTGATTCCAGCACTTCTGAGCCACTTAAAAGGGGTTGAGAAATTAAGTTGTGTGTGGGTTGGAGGGTGGGTGGGTTGGTGGGTGGGTAGGTTCTTTTCAGTTGTCTATTTTTCTCAGGGAACATTAACCAGGAACGAATGGAGGGATTTACAATTTAGTGTTTTATTTCTTTCCTTGTAGCATTCAATCTGTGTTTCAGTATTTGCTGGGCCATGTGGCTTTCATAAATAAATCGTCAAGGGTTTGAGAATGGAAATATCACCAAGATGAGGACTGCCTATGTGAATTCTGTGCATACTGTGCTTGGGGGTATAAGATCCCAAGGGGTAACAGTCAAATCCAGCATCTGTGACTCAGCAAGGTTAGCCTAATCACTTTGGGCCTCACTTTCTTTATCTATACAAATGGAGATAAAACTTGCTTTGG